TCCTTTCTACTTTGAGAATTCTAATTATATGAATATAAGTTTCTTGGTTTTGACACAGTGAACAATATATTATGACTGATCTGTAAATTCTTTCTTCATTTTTATTTTGGACAGTTTTTGTTATATTTATATATGTTTGTAAATAACTTATTTACAATTTGCAATCTATTAAAAAAATAAATTTAAAAAAGCCGGGGGGAAAAAAAAAGAATTTCTGGTTAAGGAGCAGTGGAGGTTCCTGGAGAAGAGTAGCACTCTTGGGGAGGGGAGGGGACTGCCTCCCACCCCACACCTACCTTACTCTACCTGTCTCTTTGGAACAAGTTAAGCAGTATCCTTTCCAATTAACCAGTAAAAAGGACAGTATTTCTCTGGGTTGTGCTTTGCTCTATCTGGCAAGTTAACCCAATGGGGCAGGTGATGTGTGAGCCCCAGTTCACAGTCAGGAGCTTGAATACAGCAACTTAGCAGCTAGCGGTTGGATCTGAAACTGGGAGAGGGGAAGTTTAGGGACTCATCTGTCAGGGTAAGGGACCTGCCACTGACTGCTTGGTGTGTCAAAAAAGAAACCCCAAACACTCATTCGTAGAAATCTTGTTTTAATTGTTGACAATTGGAGAAACTGAGCTTGGTTTTTTCCTCTTTTTGTGCAAGTGTGCATTCCTTTTGTATCCTGGGTTCTTTTCTGCTCAGGATATTTTTGAGATTCACTCATGATGTATTTATCAGTGAGTCATTCCCGAGAAACATTTCATTTTTTAAAATAGCATTTTAAGTGCCATTTATGGTATTGACATATAACTGGAATATACTAAACTGCATACTTAAAAAGTATATAATTTTATGTTTTGACATAGATGTAACTAAGATTTGTCCTGTCTTTTTAATTCCCCCCCAATAGCTACAGACCTTTTTTCTGTTACTAAGCATTCATTTGCATTGTTCATTAGTGATGTTCATTTAATTTTTATGTATCTGAAATTTTCATTTGCTTCCATTGTTTAAAAAATAATTTTATTGAGCGTTTCTTTCATTTTTGAAAAATTCTTTCATTGAATAAAGAACTTTTTTCTTAGCCAGGTTTGGTGATGTATTTCTATAATCCCAGCTACTTTGGAGGCTGAGACTTGAGCACAAATTCAAGGTCAACCTGGGCAACTTAGGGAGTCCCAGCTTCAAATGAAAATTTAAAAGGACTGGGTGAAGGTCAGTGGTAGGACAGTTTCCCTCCGAGTGCGAGGCCAAAAAAAAAACTCAGGACCAGAAAAGTTTTTTTCTGTATTTTTCTTGTTATCATTGGTTTTCTTTTCCATTTTTTCTTACATTTTTGAGAAAAGGTCTTGCTGTGTCTGGCCTTGAACTTTATGTACACACTGGTCTCAAACTCAGCACAGTCATTCTGCCTCAGCCTCCTGAGTACTGGGATCGCAAGTGGGCGTCACCACGGACCTGGCAGTGATTCTTGAAGTACCTTAAAGTTATCTAAGGTGGGGCTGGTGAGATGGCTCAGTGGCCTAAAGCACCTACTTAGAACAAGCTTCGGAAAGCACAGGGTCTGCAGTTCAATCCCCCAGCACCACTTGCTGGCCAGCCCCGCCCCCTGGTGGGCTGAGCTGGCCGCATGCGCGCACACACACACACACACACAAATAAATTTTTAAAAAAGTTATCTAAGATGTTGCTTTCTGGCTTATTATTTCTGACAAGATGAAGTCATTAAAATGCTGGTAAGATTCTCAGCAATTTGACTGTCCAGCACAATCCTGTTACCTTTTAGACTTCCTTCCAGATGGTTTTGCCTTCTAGCTTTTGCCCTGGCTGTTTGTCTCTCAAGATACTTGTACACATGGCCTGGCTTAAACATTAATCTCAGTGAAATCTGAAGTGCTCTGCTA